TTTTTTTGGCTTTTTCATGTATACTAAAATGCAAAACATCAATCTCAATTTAAATTTACATAAATAATATTCATGTTCATAACACAAAATACACAATCATTTGAGAAAAATACATTTATTTTTTTAGTTCTTTCACAATATATATATATATATACACACACACACACACACACACAAAATTGCAAAGTGATGGACAAAAAATATGTAAATTATGGGTATGGTTTTTATTTTTATATTTTATAATCTTGGTCAATATGTCATGGAAGATGCAAAATTGGACTTAAGTGCAAATATAAAAGATCATACGCATTTTTTTGCAGTGAAACGCAAATATGCGTTTGAGGGATGAGAGAGAAAGCCACAAACTCATTTTGTGTTTCATTTTGCAGATCGGTTGGAGAAATTTTACGCGCGTTTTGGATATCGGTTGGAGCGGGTCTTAGACAGAAAATCAGTGCATTTATAAGGCCAATGTGTTGACAAACATTTTCAATAACGATATTCTGAATTTTCCCTTAAATTTATTCAATATTTACTAGTACCTAGCCCGTGCGATGCACGAGACAGATATATTAAATGAGTTATTTTCACAGGCTTTTCCGTTTAGGTCTAAAAAGTAATAGGCTTATTATCAATTTTTTACCCCTTTAATCAACGTTAAGCCCAAAAAACAATAGGGTTATACGTTTTTTTTCCACATCTTTTAACCAACATTGTTTTTTTAGACAGAACATTAGATATGAGCATGTTAAGACTAGCTTGTAAAATAATTAATATATTATCTCACTGAAATATTTATACTAATAAAAATTTAATTTTAGCATATAAATTTATCCCTTGATATAATAGAAAGTAACAGTTTTACTTATTCTTATTCACCATATAATATTTAATTATTATTTTATTATATAATAAAAAAGAATACTGTTAAATAGTGTAGTAGAATTGTTATAAAATTATATGAATTTTTTAAATAATATAATTTAATATATTTTTATGATTTGATAATATAACTATACAGTAATGCTCAACTACCCACAGTGGGCACATGTTAATATGCCCACCGCTCATGCACACATTGGTGATGTATTTTTTGAACATATTAACATCACCAATGTATGCATGCCACATAAGCGGTGGACATATTAACATGTGTCCACTGTGGGTATGTGAACATTATCCTATAACTATAATATATTCTTAATGATATAATGATTTACTTAGTATAGCTAGAATGCTGGTTGAAAATAGAAAAAAAAGAATTTAATTAGATGCCGCCAGCATTCTGCTATAAGATAAAATTTTCACGTTATGATGAATTTTTTTAATTATCATGTTCTTCTACACATCTATTAGATTAGAAATTTAGATGCGGCCAGCATTCCGCTATAAGATAAAGGTTTCCTTAAAGCGGGATACATGTCACATGTCATACAAACTTTTTGATTTTTTTTCTTAGTTTGTTACTTTAAATTATCACAAATTTAACTGTGTGAATTGATTTACAACATACTCTACATTCAATTTTACAATATACGCTACATTCAATTAAGGCTGATTTTCATTTGCTAATGATTTATAAAGTTTGATTATTAATTTGACCATACATTTTGCTTATTGATTTATAAAGTTTGATTATTATTTTGACGAAACAGGTGATGTGTGATGTGGTCCGAATGTGATGTGTAAAAAACAGGTGTCTGATGACGTGGCATGAAGTCTTCCATTTGAGGTCCATGTCATTTTTCCGATCGCCACGTCATTGTGTTATGACCGGCATTTCTGTTGGAGAGACAATTGCAAAATTTAAATAAGGTTGGTATTTTTTATGCCAAAATGAAAACCTTGAGCTTTTTTTGCAAATTAAGTAAAGGTGGTGATTTTATAGGCAATTAACTCTAATCTAAACAAACATACAAGTTTTTCATATTATTTTTTTAGCTTTTATTAATTTGTAACGTTTTATCAGTGTAGGAAACATTTTCATGATTTTTTTATTTATTCCACGATTTGTTGATTCATTACAGCTTTGAACAATCTATGAAAATTATTAAGCCGTCTTCTGTCAAATATGTATGGAGTTATGTGTTCGTGTCTCATACGTCGCAAACATAATGAATAACATTACAAATTATTCATTCAAGCTTTTATTCATTGCAATTATATTAAAATAGTTTATATAACAGCCATTAAATACCACTTTCAATATATTTATAAATAAAAAGTACATAAAATTTCTGGTGTGTTCAAATTTAAATAATTTATTATGGACTCACTTTTAAATTATCCAGACATTTGATCAAACGCATAGGTGTGTTCAAATTTAAATCATTGGCATTTTGTTCGGTTGAAATTTAAATCATCTGTCATGGTACTGTGATGTGTATAATATATATATATATATATATATACAATCTATAATAAATAATATATGCTTTACAAAAATAATAATAATAATTTCACAAGATTTTAAACCTAAAATCTGGTTTTTAATCACAATAGAAAAATCATGGTAAGTTGTTTTTTATTAAAAAAAGTGTTATGGGATAAAATAATTAAATAAAATACTTGATGGAAATAAAATGCATTAATTACCTCTGACTTTTCTTACTACTAATTCTAGTAAATTGGATGGTTTTTTTATATAAGTATAGATTGCCTACCCCCAATTACATAAAAATAAATATTTCCTTTTGTCAAATATGGTAATGTATCATAATATTTTGACAAAAATTCTCTCATAGATTCATTACTTATTTTGGCAAATTTAACCCTATTTGCTTAGATATAATATAACCCAATTACCCTCTAATTGATTGCATTCCCTTAACTATCCATGATTGATAACTACTCTCTACCTATAAATATATCATACATATAGACAACACTTTCACATCAAACATACAAAAATCTTCTTAAAATAAATAAATAAATAAATAAATAAATAAATAAATAAATAAATAAATACAGATACATTAGAGTTCAAAATGAAGCATTCCACCATACCAACATACTCTCTACTTATTATTTCATTCATCATCTTCTCACCCTATTTTCTCCTCATCAAAGGCATAGCCACACTACACAAACCCACTTCATCGAACACAATGCCAATAAACTCCAATTGCAAATACAAACTCTTTGTTAAAAACAATCTTCCTTATACTCGGGGACAATTTAGCAAGATGCTTTCCGTGCATTGTTTTAGCGCAAACGAAGACTTTGGATATGACCTCCTTGAGCTCGACAGAGAGGTCAATTATACTCTTTGCTCCAACCCTCGCTCGACTCAGTACCTTTGCACTATGCAATGGGTTAATAAAACTGCAGACGTTACTTTACGCGCGTTTGAAGCGTACCGTGATGATAGATGCTACCGAACAAATCTATGCTTTTACGCGGCTTTAAGAGATGGGATTTACTTCACCGGGAACTACCCGCCTTCGGGCTTGACGTTATATAGTCGGTGGCCTTGATATATTCAGGAAGTATTATTTAGAGGAAATTAGACATGCATGACTCTTTTGGGATCAAAAAAATGATAAGGGTTATATGTTTGTTTGTTCCGATTATTGCATGTTCGATCGTTATCGTTGCAGACTCGATTATGATGATTTATCGATCGATTGATCTGTTTGTTATGTTTTTGCTTAATTCAGGATGAATTATAGCTTGTTAATTAATAATTTTCTTAATTAATTTCTATCTATGTCTCATTTTATTATTAATACCATATCACCATAGTTTTATTTTGAATCCAATATAATCTATATATATATATACATATATATATATAATTGCTAGCATATAGCATTTAATAAAACCTATTTAATAAAATCTCTAAAATTTTCCCTTCATTTTCGGTTACAAAAATTATTATTAATATTTTTTGTATTTCTCATATTAATACATTCTATTGAGTATAATTGTCTATGTTTCTATTATATTATATAATAGTTATTGCTAATACCAACTAACAACGATTCACAATAATATAAAAATAATTGTTTCAAGTTATTTATTTTAACATCAATATTATCTTTTTTTTTTTTTGTAACTCATGAATACAATTAGTAAATTGTTTTAATAACATAATCAAATAACTTTAGAAGCTTATAAATAATTTTTTTAATAATAATAATAATAATAATCAAACGGTTATTACCTAATGATAATAAACAATTGTTCATAATAATAAAATCGTTAATTTATTTTTCCTAGTGATCAAATTTTTGAAAATGTAATATGTTTATTATCTAGAATTATAATATTAAATTCTCAGATATTACTTATAATATTTTATGTACATCTGTGCATGTGCACAGGATATCTACTGGTGAGGCTGGAAAATTGACATATTAAAATTTTGTAAATATAATTAAGTATCCAAAACAGCTTATAAATTTAAAAGGGATGCATGTATATTACTTTCAAGGTTACAAAATTTAATAATTTTAATTACGGTACATGTCAAAAATCAATATAACATATAAAGGTATTATTTAAAATATATATATATATTCATATTTAATAAGGAAAATAAAAATAATAAATAAAGCAAATATATTTGTATTAAGTAGGAAGAGATGTATAAATAATAAATAAAAATTCATTTCTAATAACAAATAGATTTAGTAGAAAAATTAAAATGTGTAAACAATTTAATATAATTAAGTCTTTGGAGTAAGATAAAAAAATAATAATAATAATAATTATATATTTCATTTTAAAAGGGGGTGCAGATATGAAATATGGATATAATCCGATTTTTTTGGGCTAAATGGGCCGACTAAGGGTGTGGTCCATTTGTAGAAATAGGACAGTGTGGGCCGATACGGGCTTTGGTCCATTTATACACAAAATGACAGTGGGATGAATTTGGTAATAATGAGTAATTTGGGGACCAGACAATAAAATACTTGTTGCCCTAAGAAAGAAAAGCCTGCTTGTTCAGCAAGTCTTTCAAATTTTATCTTCTCCACCATAAAAAGGAGACAAAAACACACAAATAAACTCCACAGTAAAGCAAAAATGGCGGCCATCGGAAAATTTTCTCTTCTGGCGGCGAGGATCCCCACTAGCCTTCTTACCAGAGGTAACGCCGGCTAAGCATACACATGTATACATATGTACGCTCGTGTTTTATGTGTTATTTGTGTGGTGTGTGAATCGAAAGCTTGTTTATGAGCGCTGATCGTAGTTATGTTTAGAAGGGATTAAGCTTTTGGGGTTTGGTTAAAATCGTTTATGTCGTGTGATTCTGTTTTTGAGATGATGATGTCTGGTGTGGAAATTGATGCGAAATTTGAATGCCATATTTGGGAATTAGGGTTTTGCGATGGATAATTGCCTGGGAATGCTTGAAGAGATGTGTATGTGATGGATTTGGATTTGTTCTTTATAATTGTACGATTCTTGTTCGATTTGTTGGGATTTGGGCTATTTGCTTTCATTTGACTGTAGAAAGAATTAGGGAAAGTTCTCTGGAGAGCTAGATAGCTAGCATTTGGGAGGACATTGAAAAATGTATTCGATATTTTGTTCCGATGTGTAACTTTCACCAGCTGTGACTGTAACTTGCACCAACTGTGACCGCTGATGAAAGAAAATATGACAGATATCCATCTTTGAACATGGATTGAAAATCCATTATTCAGAAAAAACTGTGTACTTTCATTGATTAAACTATATTATTGGCAAAAGCTTTTATTTTCATGCTTTAGTTGAAATATCGAGTGCTTCACCTTGACTAGAAAAATGCTGAAAGAAATATTATAACCTTGGGGAATGGAGAAAAGAAGTTTTTTTTAGCTTCCCAAGAAGCACACGACTTACTCACGATGTGTATTTGAACGAATCTCGGAATTCAAATGTTTAGTCTTATGGTGATATTCATCTCTAAAATGATTTGTTGGAGTGTGCTATTTTGTATTCTCAATTTTCTCTTTTGAAGCATGCTGATTCTGTGAGTATGGGTTCTTATAGTTATATTGATCTGCGGAATGTGCTACTAAGAAATATATAATCACACAATTCTTCGTGAAATGGTGGAACCTTTATTTTAATCTGGGTAATGTTTGCGTCTTGTTCATGAGGATTGATTACCGAGATTCATTGCTCATCATCATGGTGAATAATTGCATGGATTTGGAACAAATTTATTCTTAATTATGCATTCGGTTATCAGACAACATCATTTAAAACATAAATGGAAAACAGTCCCTCATTTTCAAGAAAATGCTTTTGACTCTTTTATGTGAACTTTATATCTCGGATTTCTTTATATAATCAGTTCTTTCTGCTTCACATGTTTGCAGAACTCTCCCGGAACTTGCGTCTTTCTCCGAGCTTTTTCTTCCGCAGATATGAACCATACACTCGAGGCTTAAGCTTCTGCACCAAAGCTAACAATCAACCCACTGCAATTCAGGCCACCAAACATGAAATTCCCAGCTTGAAGACCAGCCCTTGTTTGGATAATAACAACCAGGCTACCTCCATGAAGCTCAACATGATTTCCAACCTGACGGTGTCCGAAAAACACGATAATGCCATTCTAATCATATGCAAAGTCTGCGGGGCACGATCGCTCAAAACCATGGCTGGCGATTCATACAAGAAAGGCGTGGTTATTGCCAAGTGTGATGCCTGTAACAATTTGCATATTATTGCTGATAAGTTGGGATTGTTTGGGGAGCCTGGTAGTGTTAGTGTGGAGGACTTTTTGGCTGCTCGTGGGGAGGAAATCAAGACCAGAGGTCCGTGTAGCACTGTGAACCTCCTGAAGGTGAAAAAAACCAGAAAAACAACCCAGAACAAACCCAAGGGAAAAACCAAGGGAAAAACCAAGGATCTTGCTGGAAATAAAGAAACTTAGTAGTTGTATTAGGTTTTATTAGTGAAGTATGGGCCAAGTATTTACATATTATTGACTCGGCCCCTTTTTATGACGACTTGTTATGTTTTGATCTCTGTTCGACTTTATGTTTATTTATGCAAGGTATCGTGATTGATCAGGTTTGGTAATAGAGTAATTTAATTCATTATCAGGTTGGTATGAACTATTTGTTGATCTTATGTTCATGCAAGGTTAGCCATGATTAGTTGGGTTGCAAGCTGGGTATTAGTCTTTCAAATCTGGGCAAGAAGAGTTATGTATAGGGATGCAAACGAGTCGAGCCGCTCGCGAGTGCTCGAGTCAAAGCTTGACTCGAGCTCGAGTTTGACCGAACTCGAGCCTAGTTCGAGCCCATATTTTGTTTTGTCGAGCGGCTCGAGATACACATTAAATTATTAAAATACCCGTTATTATATATTAGCATAGGTGCTTAATGGTAATTTACCTTTCCACTTAAAAAATTTCAAGCCGAACTCGAGCCGAACTCGAACATTTTGATTTCGAGTCGAGTTCGAGTTTATTGTAATTTTTTATCGAGTCGAGCTCGAGCCTAAAAAATTGAGCTCGAGCTCGAGCAGCTAAAAAAATAACTCAATCATGCTCGATAAGGCCAATGCTTGACTCGACTCGTCTCGTTTGCAGCCCATGTATAACTGTGTGGGGTTTGATCAGTTTATAAGATTGATGATATTCTGTTGATAAGACTTTTGATTGTTTGTATGTTAGTTGGTTCCATCACCATCAAGCAAAGTAAAACACAATTAATGTTCATAACAATTGTCATGAATGTTCAATATATTTATGGAAATTTCAAGGCTTAATTATTTTTAAGTTGAAAGATAATTAAAATTTATCGAAACAAAATAATGAAATATGTAATTTTATTAGGGATGAAAATGGAAACGGTAATTTCCGATTACCTGGAATCGTTTTCGAAATTTTTTTCGGATTTGGAGGCTAAACGGAAACGAAAACGGTAACCGGAAAAACGGAAATGGAAACGGTAAAAAAATTTGAAAATGAAAACGAAAACGGTTTAGCCCTTTCCGATCGTTTTCAAAAATTACCGTATTTAAACGGTATTTTACCGTCGGTAATACCGGCCCAACCCATACTAGGCTCACTTTTAATTATAAAGCCCAATCCAAATCCCAAATGGGCCAAATGCCCAAATCCCCTTCAGCCCAACCCTTCTACAGTGCCCAAATCCTGAAATTAATGTTATAGCAAATGGTGTGGATTTGTATGGATTTTATTATAGCAAATGGTGTGGATTTTAATTTGGATTTTGCCACTATTATGCCATGAGAATATTTCAATTAATGTTTTAATGCTATATTTTATAATGTGGTGTGTTTATCGTTTTTTAAATATCGTTTTAATATATTTCGATCGTTATCGATG